TAATGTTGTATAATAGTTAGATACACAGGAAAAAAAACTGAATAGATGGCTGTTGTAATGCATATATTAATAATTCTTAAGATATTAATTTCTTCCTCTTACAACTTTTGGGCTGCTTACAGGAATATTAGTTTTATACACTGTTCACCTCACCACATTCATATTCAAATCATGTATTATCTGACTTCAGCTTACTATTTCACCTATAATTATTTTCATGAATATGATTATTTTATTAATATTATTATTTCTAGACATTATATGCTTTATTTAACAGGTTAAAAGTGATTCATTAGTTTGGGGGTTTGGAATAATTACATAATTTTTTTTTTTTTTGAGACAGAGTCCCACTTTGTTGCCCTCAGTAGAGTGCCATGGAGTCACAGCTCACAGCAACCACAAACTCTTGGGCTTAAGCAATTCTCTTGCTTCAGCCTCCCAAATAGCTGTGCTCAACTATTTTTTATTTTTCTTTTGAGACAGGGTCTCGCTCTTGCTCACACTGGTCTTGAACTTGTGAACTCAGACAACCACCCACCACGGCCTCCCAGAGTGCTAAGATTATAGGCGTGAGACATGGGGGTCCAGCCTAACATAATATTTTTAAAAACTCACAAATTTAAAAAGTGTGAATAATGGCAAATGATAAAAATATCAGCTGAAATAGTCTTTTGATTGAATGCTATTGAGGACAAAATGATCAATATGTACTTTATAGAGTCATAAAATTTCTAAACATGAATGGATAAATATATAGTAGAATTTGTATGGAAATTAATCTTTAATTAACTGCTAAAGATGTGTAACAAAAGTAAAGTATTTTTGTTCCTACCTGAGGTATATGTAAGTTGAGGGTCCATCACTGATCCAAGATAAGACGTGGTTGTTATTCCAAGAGCAAATGGTGTGAATTGCCCACAAATTAATAATTTCTTTAAGTGGTTGAATTTTCTCTACAAGTTGACCAAAGTAACTAACTCATTCGTAACAATTTTATTTCCAATATTTTATAGCATTTACTTTTAGCAATTCCGTTTAATATTTTCCAAGTTCACTTCGTAATTTTATACCATATTACCCTCCATCATGGCTTTCTTGAATTAAACGCAGGGAGTCTATTAAACTATACTGCCTGTAGTGGAAATTCATATCATACAAGTTGATGGCACCAGGTTAAAACTTATACTTCAGTCCAATAAAATAATACATTTATACAGATTATAAAATTTAATATGGTTTACATTTTAGAAAAAAAAAGTTTGTAATGTGGAATGACCTGGATAGCCTGGAAATATAAACCCTAAAATACATTAACTTGGCAAAACCTAGAAATCACTTAACTAACGTATGTCTAAAGCCATATGCACAGGATATAATAATGCTTAACTTTCAACTCTGAAAAACGAAGGTGTGACTAAACAAATAATTCACATTGTGCTTCCTGAGGAATTTTCAATATTATAAACATGTAAATAAGCTTGAATTCTGATTCAAGATTATTCATCTCAAATTTATGTTATACATAAGTATGTCAAACATTGGGTATAAAATCTCCAGTGCCACTATGTAGGAGGGGAAAGATAAAAATATGGATGAGAAAAAAACCTAAACCTGGTATACGATTTTTAATCAAGTATAGCTGACCATCTGTGCAAGTGAATGCTCATATATATATTTTTTGTTTATTCAAAACACTTCATTTAAGGTGTGCTCTCTACATTTACCTACTTCCAATTTTTCCCCAAAGGAATAGCCTTCCAAAAGAGCTCTCTCACATACATTTTGCCCAAAGTTTATAATTTAGTTTTCTTTTCCAATATTACTCTTTCATGTGAAACCATGGGCAATGATATTTATGTAACAGTAGGCAATAAGTGTTAAACCTCTCAAGCAAAAACTTTTAGTTTTCTTAAAATTCAGTTGAGTAAATTTTATTGTGAGAATAACATGAACAAGTTGCACTGGAAGGATGTCCCCTGTCCTCATGGCCTGGGTGGCCTGGAGTTCCCACTGTGGCATTTCTCCTGCCTGAACAAATAGAGACCCTGTCCACGGGGATCCCTCCCAATAAAAGCTACTTAATGCGTCATGCGGACTTTGGCTTCCATGCAGAAATTGGCCCAAGAAGAGTAAAACAAAGTTCTTCCCATAAACATGCTTCATAAATGAAGTATCCTAAGACCAATAAAAGTTTCAATGTCTTAGAACTTTTCAATCTACCATGAAAGATAGAATGTGGGCTGAAAGTCACCTATTCACCTAAAATTCTTTTGTAAAGTTAATAAAGGAATATATCCCTAGAAATTAAAACAAATCCTACCAATTTCTAAAGTTAGGCACATGTAAACTAATGTATAGTTACATTTAATAGTTAATTGTGAATTAACAATCCAATTGACACTAAACATCACAGAAAAGTAGACATTTTTATATCTAGTCCAGAAATATATAATTTAATGTATAGATTAAATTCCCTGCACACAATGTATCGAATTAAACCAAGATAAACATACAGGTGAGTATCCCTTATCCAAAATACATGGGGGCAGAATTATTTCATACTTTAGAGTTTTTTTCAGATTTGAGATTATTTGCCTCTACTTAATGATATCTTGGGTACTAAACCCAAATATAAACATGAAATTTACTTATATATTCTGTACACATGATACGCATAGTCTGAAGGTAACTTTATATAATATTTTAAATAATTCTGTGCATGAACTAAAGTTTCAACTTTATTTGACCAGTATCCATAACATGAGATTGGGAAGGAAAATTTCCACTTGTGTCATCACGTAGGGTTTTTGAATTTGGGGGCATTTCAAATTTTGGACTTTTTCAGTACAGGTGCTTAGCCTACAATGAATAAGATCTACTTGAGACATACCTTTTGAAGCAGTTGATTAAAAACCATCATGACCGTCTTTTTCACTTGGTTGAGTGAGAGTCTTGGACTGCATCTGTTGTATTGTCCTTGCCTAGATTACAAAGAGAATTAGTAGTAAAAATAATCTTATCTGTAAATATTAAAGGGACAGCATCATTCAGTAACCTCTCTCTTATATAAAAAGGAACATTTTTATGTTTACTTGTTCCCTCTTTACTTTTTAATCTAACCCGATTCTCTTTAGTATGATTTACATTACTGGATTCTTGTTTTTATAGATATCATCATTTGGTTTTAAAATTCAAATGCTTCCTGGCTCCTGTTTTTAATTTAGCTCATCACTTTCTTTGACATATTTGAATATCTTATTAAGAGGTCGCTATAGGCTTTTTGTTGTTGTTGTTTTTATGTTCAATTAGCTAAAAGCCATCAAATTCCCACTCTTCTTATGTAAGTGACTCAGGCATGTTACTGGGGTTAAGAACACTCATGCCTTTTACAGCAGCACTATCTCCCCCTGTATAGGATCAGCGTAACTGCGTGAGTGTTGTTATCCATTTAAAGATTATCAAGTAAGTCCCTTTGAAAGATTGCTTGCTACTCCAATTGATGTTTTTCAGACAGTTTATTGGATGGAATTTTACAGGAATTAGGACGCTGAAGTGGGAATGGCTTTTCTTGTATGAAAAGGGATGATCCAGCATTGCCTATATAAAATGCTCAAGGATTAAATTTTTGTGCAATTTCTACTATTCTTTTTATATTTTTACTATAAAAGAGACTCTTGTTATTTGTACCAGAGAAGGGCAGGAATCTGACATGATGTGCCACGCTGACACAACAGCTTCAGCTTTCAGTTTTTAAGTTGGCTCCATCAGAGCGGGATTGCACCAGGGAAGGCAGAAAGGCTGAAACTGTGACAGAATTAAAGAACATGTTGTTGCTTGAAGCGCTGTGATGTTAATTTACTACTCAGAAAATGCAACAAGCTTCTCTGAGGCTCACAGGCCTAGAGAGACAGGAAAAATGAAGGTACCTGTGTGGATAGCTGCTTAGCTAATTATGAGCAGAGGCTGATTAGAAATGGGCAAGGTGAGTCTCCTACCAAAGTTTTATTCCCTACACTTGTACCTCTGAGTCCAAATGTTGTCAGTGGTATAAAAACCCAATGATTTACAAGATAACCTCTGAATGTATAATACTTTCAAAATATGATTAGTGCCCATTAAAATTATAAATATATTAGAATTTGACAGATGGGACTTTAATAAGCTGGGCTCTCATAGGATTTCTGATATTCTGCTGTTCCTGGCTACGAACAGGAAACATCACATGGCACGTACTTCTTCATAGAACTCTCCAGTGGTTTCCGTTGCAACTGGAATAAATAGATCCATTTAGCTATGTTTTGCAAGAAATTTCATGTTCTCACTTATACCTACCTCTCTGATCTCCTTTCCTGCTCCTTTTCTACTCAATCATGACACTTTATTCCCACAAGCCTCTTTAATGTCCCTTAAACGTGCCCTGGGCTTTTACCTTGTGATTTCATTATCCTGGATTATCCTTCCACTAGGTCTTGGCGATGCTAATTCCTTATCTTCCAAGTCTCTGGGGAGACTTTTCCTGACCACAATGGCTGAAGCAGCTTTTTGTACACCTGTTTCCTCTTGTTACTTTTTACTACCTTCCACAGTTCCATTATTTGTCAGCACATATCAGTATCTAACATTTTATTTGTTAATATTTTTATTTTCTGTATTTCTCCTACCAGGATCTAAGTCCTAAAACCTAGGGCTCTATCCATCTCTGCAAGAACACAAAAATTGAATAAGATTTGATGGAAAATAAAGCCACTGCCAGTTAGTGTACTCATTTATAAACTTAGAAAAAGTCTCATATATATTTATTTTAAAATTTAATTTTAATTAAAATAATTATTAGGGTGGAAGAAAGAACAATGCCATAACAAATGTCTACAAGATTTTGTTGTTTGTATAGTACATGTACTCTTTAATTTATTCCACTAAATATTAAAGCACTAGTATATTTATAATGTTAATCCTTAAGTGCATCTTTTTTGTATTTTGTTCTGTTCTTTTTTTTTTTTTTTTAATATGGATCCTTCATGAATCTACATGTCATCGTTGCGCAGGGGCCATGCTAATCTTCTCTGTATCATTCCAATTGCTCTTTTTTTTTTTTTTTAGCAATTATATGAATCTTTCTAAAGGTAGAGTATAAATGTCTTAACACAATAACTAAGAAAATTGACATAAAGTCTATGTTAACCAGTTTGATGAAAATATTTCAAATTGTATATGAAAGCACCACACTGTACCCCATGATTGCATTAATGTACACAGGTATCATTTAATTAAAAAAAAATATGTTCTAAGTGGCAAAAAGGAAATGTCATTTCATTTGACCATTCTTCTGAGCTATAAGTTTTATTACCCCAAAAGTAAGTGTATTTAAATTTGAAATAAATTCTTTTGAGGATATTTATAAATAAAAACAACAATAAAATGCCACCTGGAATTTGTGTCATTGGGATCAAAGATGCCCACGTGCTGAGCGGTTGAGCAGGACTCACTGGTGGACATCTTTGATGACACTAATTCAGTTAGTCATCACAGCAACATGAGGGCAGCATTCTGTTTTCTGTGTCACAATTCAGAAAACGGAGATATGCAATGTTAAGTAAGACACTTATGTTGAAAAGGTAGTGAGTGGGAGAACCGAAACTATCCCCTGTGGCTTCAGAGAGTAAAGAGTTGATTCCAGAAAAGAGAAACAAACTGAAGCATCCTTCATTCCTTCACTTGCTAAAATCTCAGAACAAAGAAACAATCAAACAGCTGGGAGTTTAAATCTTAAAGTCTCTGGCATCTTTTTTATTCAGAATGTTTTCAATTAATTAATTTTCAAAACTGAGCTTCCTTTTGAAAAGCAGAAAGGAGACACCAGCCTCCAGGTAAAGAGATGACCCAGGGCAAGTGTTCACTGCACCGCACAGGACTCACCTGCTACAGTTATTCCTCCAAAAATGTTAAATAGATTTGTGGGATATTTTCTTTCTCTCTCTCTCTCTCTCTCTTCTTTCTTGTTTTTGGCCAGGGCTGGGTTTGAACTGCCACCTCTGGCATATGGGGCAGGCACCCTACTCCTTTGAGCCACAGGCACCACCCAATATTTTATTTCTTTCTATGATATATTTTAGATGTTAAGCTCCAGCATGGCTAAAGTGTGACTCTTTTTTGGCTGATGCTTGTATTTTTAGTCAGTTACAATCCAGGTTTATATGCAACAAATGTAAAATTATTATTAAAAAATATATACATTTTAAATATTAAAAAGATGATAAATATAAGAGTATCAAAACACACACACACACACACACACACACAAAACCAGATAAAATTTCGACACCAGGTATTTACGATATATTTACCTGACATTGCTCAAATGCACACAATATACCAATGAAGGTGTTCATATTAAGATATCACCTTGTACTCTATGTCTTTTGTAGCCTGAAGTTTGGGAAGTTGATACAGGTTGGAAGACGTTTCCCAGAAAACTGTTTCTATATGGAGACAGAGAGCAATGACTCTATATGGAAGTGACAAAGTATTACTTAAACTTATGCTTTAGTTGGATTCCAAAATATCACTGACCATTATAGTGTCACCAATCAGAAGAAGTACGGTGGACAGGAAATCAGAGTGGAACACAAGAGCAGTCTTTACCGAGTGGAAATCAGAATGAAAAACCAGATAGCAGTCTTACCTCAGCTAATTTTATAAAAATGGTGTGACCAAGTGAGCCCCTAGCTAAGCCACTACCAGGGCTTTATGTAGCTTCATGGACAGGCAAGGGTCCCCAAACAACAAGCCTAGCAACTTAAATTCCCTTGTATTTCCAGGAAATCTGTCATTGTGTGCATCTTACAAAGTGGTCTCTTCATAGTAGGTTCTTAATAAATATTTGCTGATTAAAAGTCAAATGACAGCGATGTCTTCTTGCCCCATGCCTTTCCTAATGAGCCTGCTAAATAAATAATACACACACCAGTTAGACACTAAAATTGAACTCAGAACAATTACTCTTTTCTATGCTATGGTATTTGCTGGTAGGCGATTTATATTTCCCAGTAGGAAGTTTTGTGGTTTAATGATGCATGCAAATACAGAGGCAGGTTGAAAATAGTTTGTACTTCTTGAATCACTGCTTCATATAGACATTTTTAAAAGAATATAAATGGTAAGTCAAAGACAATATGTTTAAGTATTACAGTTTACTACCCAATTGTACATACTGTAATTCTACATGACCAGTAACATTGACAAACAAAAATTATTTTACATATTTTAAAGAATTATGCTGGAATATATTTAACAAAAGAGCTGAAAGACTTCTCTCTGTACAAGTATGAGACTCAGAGTAAAGGAATTCCTGAGGATGTGGACAGATGGAAAAACACATCATGCTCATGGATCAGCAGAATCAACATTGTAAACAGATGGACAAACACACCATGCTCAGGGATCAGCAGAATCAATATTGCTAAAATGGCTGTACTAGCCAATGTGATTTACAGATTCAATGCAATTCCCATTAAACCACAAAGCCATTTTTTGCAGATCTAGAAAAAAATAGTTCTATGCTTCCTTTGGAACCAGAAAAGACTCCAAATAGCCAAGGCAACCTTACAGAATAAGAGCAAAGCGGGAGGCATCAGCTCAGCAGACTTTAGCCTACACTGAGAGGTTATAATAACCAAAACAGCATGGTACTGGCACAAGAACAGAGACACAGAACAGGATCAGAACAGAAAACCCAGGTGTCCAACCATCCTTACGTTGCCATCTGATCTTTGACAAAGCAGAGTATGGCGTACACTGGGGAGAAGAATCCCTATGGACTAAATGATGATGGGAAGTTGTACTGCCACGAGTGGAAGATTGAAACGGGATCCACACCTCTTGTCACTCACCAAAACAAACTCCCAATGCATAAAAGACTTACACCTGAGAGAGAAAACCATTAAAATACTAGAAGAAAATGTTGGAGAAACTTTTATAGATAATGGCCTTGGCAAATAATTCATGAAGCAGACCCCCAAAGCAATGACAGCAATGACAAAAATAAATAAATGGGATCTGATCAAATTAACAATCTGCACAACCCACGGAACAACCAAAGGGGCCAATGCACCGGGTGGGTGGCGTGGCGCCAGACCTGGGCATGGCGTGGGGTGTGGCTGGTGGGGGGGGGTTGGATGGGGCGGGCCCTGGGGAGGGGCCATCCAGGGCATGCCTGCTTGGGGGCGTGGTGCAGGATGGGAAGCCCCACCCACCACACCCGCCCTCCAGGACCCTCTGGGACCCACTGGGGTCCCCAGTACTGCGGGAAGGGGCATCTCTGGCGGAGCTACGGATCCAATTGCTTTTAGGAAACAGGCGTGCTGACCACACCCTGGCTGCCCTCTGTGGTGTTCTGTCTGACACAGGGGTGCCGCTTGTAAAGGCCACCGCACAAGGGTTCTACCAGACATTCTCCAGGGCTTTTCTGCAACTTGCCAAACAGGCCTCCGGGTGGCCACGAGCACGGGTCACTTGAGGTCGCCTATATAAACACGGGGCGCCCTGACGTGTGAGACGGAGCCCAGCGTGGCTCAGGCGCTGTCGCTGCAGCTGGTCAGCGATGGGACCAAGGGGAAGCTCAGTCACACGTGCGGGGCGACTTTGTGAAGAGACACCAGCAGCCTTCACAGGGAATGGGTATGACGTCCAGGAAAAGACGCTGTCCCTGGGACGGAGATGCAGACAGAATTACTGTCCACTACCGTGAGGCTGACAATTCACCGCTGGGGGACACGAGGGAGCAGTGCCCATCAGCACCTGCTGTAGCAGCCTGGAGAAGGTTTAAATGCCAGGGCTGTGGAAAGTGTGTGTGTGAGGAGGGTGCCAGTCTGCTCTGGCTCCACGTGGCCGAGGGGTGGACATCGGAGTGTACTCTGAAGCCAACAGACACGGCACCATGCTGTTTAGAACAACTGCCAAAACAAAGATAGAACAACTAGCAGAAAAATTAGAAGATGAGAAAAGAAAACCTGCAAAGATACTTGTAAACTTTATCGACCTGTTTAACCAGGCTGCTGGCAATGAGGTTTCCCACAAGCTGGTCGTTGAGGTGACCTTGGCTCTGACCGGCTGGACAGTCGGCAGTGGGACTGTGCAGGCCTCCAGCACAGACAACTCAAAGTTGAGGTGCAGACAGTAGAGTGATCCCCACACTGATGCTGAAAGACCAGCAGGTGCCTCGAGCCTGGGGCTACAGGAGCGTGGAGGGCCTGTCCCCCGTTTGTCCCACCCTCTGGACAGGAGGTGTGGGTGTGGCTGGAGAGTGCAGAAGCGACTCTCAGGAAAGGGCACACAGCCCCGCATGAAGCGAGCTTGGCAGTGTTTCAGTGGGCTGGAGGAAGCAGAGAAAGACCCTAACCATGTTTCTGAAGATATTTTCATATTCCTGAAAAACTGGATTTAATTTTTTTTATAAAACTATCAGTAATTATGGCAATACTGTGACATTTATAATCATAATGTTTACAATGTACCTTACTGTCTTTTTTTTAATCTAATTGCTTTTCTCAAATACTACCAGAATAGTTCTTCATACATCTGTAAGCTTTATAAACTTGTTAAAGAAACTTAGCTCTAATTTCTGTGTCACTACTGTAAAATGCTGGGAGTAAGCAGACGATTCAATTATCGGCTTTATGCGGGAAGGGAGGAAAACTCGTGGAGGCTGCGGGGAGATCATGCCTGTGTTACCAGCGCCTGTGAAGTCTGCACCAGCACTGCGGTCCCAGCAAGACGCTGCGTTGCAGCATTCACCGTTGCTGCCACAAACAGAGAGAGTGAAGGGGACTGGAGACATCCAGGGAGATAGCATCTAATTTCCTTGAGAACGGCCAGTGTTAAAAAACTCAAAACATCAGATGCTGGCATGGATGCAGAGAGAAAAGAACATTCGTTCACTGTTGGTGGGACTGAAACTAGTTCAACCTCTACGGAAAACTGTCTGGACATACCTGGAATAACTTAAAATACAATTACCACTTGATTCAACAGTCCTCCTGTGAAAAAAGCCATGTTATGAAATGGACACCTGCACTTAAATGCTTTTAGCAGTACAATCCACAATC